GGCGAAGAGACCAGGTTACCATCTTACTGGGAAACAAAGTTCCCCAGGATCTGTCTTGGTGTGAAGAACAGAAAAGAAATCAACTTCATCGCAATCAACGTAGCAGCCTCCTCCCTATACTCTCTAATCGCTGATACCGCCCAACCTCACTGGGCCTAGAATAATAGAAGTCGCTGCTTCGTTCAAACGCCTCACTGCAATCTAACTGTAACCAAGAAGGATTCAACGAATTGTGTGGGTGCTCTGGTGCCTTTCAACCCAGGGCTCGGATTGCTATTCTTATTAATGAACAAAATGATTGTAACAGCTATGATTCCAGGATCGGCTTTGGTACTGGGGGCCATCCTGATTACTCGAACTCATGTGGAAACGTGGCAGTGCACAAATGGAGCAGATAATGGAGATAAAAACATCAAGACTCTAGACTACATTCTTGTTCATTAATGTAGTAGTCATACCTCCCAATTTTGTTTTAAAACAATTGGTCAGATAGTTGTTCTCGGACAATATCGTTCCCGATAAGGGTACAGTTATTTCAAAGGCAAAGCTGCCTCTAAAGATTTTAGACTAATCAGAAACATTAACAAAATTATTCAGCTGCTTGAGAATACCGCTGACCAACATGCGTGTTGATCGTTTTCCAAGTTGTGAGAACATCGTCGCTAGGTTCCAGACCCTGTCAAATTCTCCCTTCACCCTCCCCCGCCCGAACTGGCCCTAAAAACCCTTCAATAACCTCTTCGACAGACAGTGCTAGGGATTTTCAATCAAATGAAAGCTAAAAATTAACCAAATGGATCTCCGCTTTTAGGCTTGGCTAAATCTATTTAAGTGTTAGAGGTAAATGCGGCCAGAAGGAATTCAAAGAATTGAATATATTTACATTACTTGGAAACTGAATTTCATTTCGTCTTATTAGGCATTCTTTTCGAGATTCCGTGTTTAAAATGGCTGGCGAGAAACATTCTTTAAACTTAACAAATGGTGAACACCACAGCGTACACTATTGAGTTATGGATGCACTTGGGAGGTTTGCTAAGCACTCAAGAAGCTAGAGTCGCTCTCGGCTATCGCCTCGAGCGACTCTTACGCTTCTTTCGTGCTTAGCAACCTCCCGCGTGCATCCATAACTCAATAGTGTACGCTGTGGTGTTTACCATTTGTTAATTTTC